GTGTCAGTCTTACTTTAAGTGAAGTGTAGGAGTAATTCTTAAGTGTCAGTCTCACTTTAAGTGAAGTGTAGGAGTAATTCTTAAGGGTCAGTCTCACTTTGGGTTCGCATGCACTCACCAGCTGAGTATATTTAATATTTTCTCCAAAAGCCACACACAAATATCTGCCTTTTAGTCCAACATTATGCACAGTTTGTTTGTTTTACCTTTTGTTTCTTTTGTATTTTTGACTAAACCTGTTTTCCACCTTGTAAGTGAGAAGAACACTCAGGTGGGGAGGAGGACAGCTGTAATCTGTCTTCAGTYCATCTCAGACCTCTAGTGGAAACTCTGGACCACTTCAGAGTCCTCTGGAKCAGTCTGAACTTTTCTTTAGAGTAAGAGTGATTCTTAGACTGAAGAATTTTGATAACTGACACACTTAAGTCTGAGRGTACGAGCAAATCTAAGACATTTTCAGCACTTAAGTCTAAAAATCCACTCTAAGAAGTTTGATGAATACAGGCCCAGGTCTTGGCTTCCTGTCCACAAGAAAATAGATTTTACTGTTGGCTTCTAAAGTTTTTAAAGGTCTTACTCCATATTTGTGATCCTAACATCTACGCAGAGCACTCAGGTCTACCAACCAGTTTCTCTTAGATCCAAACTAAAATCTACAGGTAATCTGCTTTTTCAACTGCTTCTCCAAAACTAACAAATTACCTCTTTATATTCAGTCTGCTGGGCCTCCTGAGGCTTTAAATTTTTTGTTCAGGACCACTCTATTTCGATTCAGGCTTAGCTTTTAGAGCTCATTTTACTATATTTAAATTTTACCTTTGTTGTAACAAGTCGTGTTAACCGTTTGTTTTCAATACAGTAACAGACATGACATTTGATTTCTTTGGGTTATGACTGAGATTCTGCAAAGTTAAAATTTAACTAAAATATGCAAAACACTGTAAGACATGCTAACAAAATGTACATCATGTAAAATAGTTTGTAGAGATGAAATTACAAATTCAATAGCTTAACATTTGTCTCTTGCAGAAATTCTAATTTCATAAAATCTGTGTGGTCAAACTGAAAATTTAAGGGTTTGCATTTAGGAAGTTTGAGTTTTTGTAAATCTGAACATTTACACCCCCTCTAGCAGCATAGCTTAAGATGGTTYAGGAAACTCAAACAGGATTTGTCAACAGAAACAAGCAGTCAGGCTCAAACTGAAAGTTAAACCATTAGTCTACTTCACAAGTAAACCTGCAGTTAGTGAGAAAATATCCATAAGCTAATTGATGGTTAGAAATAATGATTATAGTCCAGTTTATTTCAGAAGTTATTTAAATAAAATTCAGACCCATCAGTTCTAATTTAAGACTGACTGACTGCAAAAATCTCATGTTCCATTGGAGTGTTAGCATCAAGCTCTGGTTTAGTGAAACACTTAAGTCCCATGGCTCCCTCCACATTTAAATGATAAAAAAAAACCACACAATTAAATACTCCATGAAAAATTAGCTTTTTATTTCAAGATATTAAGATCCACCTGGTGGGGTAGTCMTTTAGAAAACCCCATTAGATCTTGACCCTGGTCCACCTGACCTCTGGATAACCACTTTGGGGACTGAAGGGTTTCTGTTGAGGAGCAGCTGTGGGGGTCTGAAGCTTTGACACAGTCACTTGGTTCTGGGCAGGTTTTCTCAGTCGTCTGATACCAAAGCCACCAAAGTGCTCAGGAATCTGGTAAACTGTAGCAAAACTTTGAACAGGAGTTCCCTTAATGCTGCTCCTGGGGACAGCTGGACCACGACTGATTTTGTAGGTCTGGGGCCAGCTTCTGGGACTTGCCCCTCCTTCATGACCCACAGGTGGTCTCCTATCCTGGGTTTGAGGCAAGACACTCGTGGCCTTAGATTTACGGTTTGAAGATAACCTCTTGGCAGGACTACGAGCGTACGTTTGAGTCTGCACAGAATGTCCAGGAGCCACAGGGTCATACAGACTGGACGAGGAGCCCACTTCTCTGTGGTAAAAAGGGATATTAGAAGCAACCTTGGAAAGTGCTTGTGCTGCAGAGAGGAGAGAACCTGGATTGATTAAGTTGCGTTTCTTAGAACCTTGTTGAGACTCAGTTTTGCTGGAATGCTTTCCCTTCTTTGGAGTTTTGCTGCCCCTAGAGGGGTTCTTCTGGTTCTTATGTTGCTTCTCCTCTATGAGGTCAGAGGACTGCTTCGCTGCTTTTGGACCTTTAGCCCTGGGTGAAAAAGACTTTGGCCTGCTCTGCACCAATCTGACTGAACTCAGAGCTGGCTGGGAAACATGCGCTGAGCTCCTGGTGGAGAGTCCTGGACCAGAACCAGTGTGAACTGCAGGACCAGAACCAGTGTGAACTGCAGGACCAGAACCAGTGTGAACTGCAGGACCAGAACCAGTGTGAACTGCAGGACCAGTGTTGGAGCTACTGCTCTGGACCATATGTGGAGAACTGAAGCCTTGTCTGCCTTGGTTCTGGGGATAGCTGCCAGATTTGATCAATCTGACAGTTGGTGGTGGAAAGCCAACATGTGTGTTGCTGTTCTGGAGATTCTGAGCTGCAGGACAAGAAGAGACACCAGTCAACTGTGAGTCCACACAGACACAACACGAGTCCACTTGAGGACATTGGACCAGTAGAAAGCTGACATTTCTGTTCTTACCTTCTTTAGTCCAGAAACAACCTACACGCTCTGCTTGAACCCAGAAAACCAGAAAGATCCTGAGCAGGAAATCAAACAGGAAGTCAGAAAACAAAAGGTGAACATTTCAATCAGAGCAGCTGGAAACACTCACCCTAAACCAAGTCCACAAGTCATTTCTGGTCCCAACAAGCCTGCAGCTCCTGGCTCTGTGTGTGCCAGCAGGTATTTATTAGAACCTGCAGCCAATCACTGCTCAATGAACTGATTGTCTCCAGCTGCAGCTC